CGGTAGCCTCGTATCGGTCAAGGCTTTATGTGAAGCTAGATTCCCAGAAAACTTGCAGTTCAAGGCCCAGTCCACTATTCAAGTTGCTTACTAGTGTAGCATAGAGTTCTAGGTGGAAGTTCAACTTAACAGTCTCCACTGCAGTACCGGTATATAAAACAGTGTTTTGGAACCAAAGGCAAATTTCCGTGTGCCTCTCGGATCTGGTGGGGGATTGTTGGAATTTAGTCTATTTGGGCAGCCCAATAACTATTTCAGAAATTCCTAATAAATCCTAGAGGCCCACTTAGCCCATTTGTGCAAGGCAAGGGATACTACTAACGTTTAGTCCCACATTGCTAGTTTAGAGGGGGTTGGACCTCTTTATAAGGGAGGCTCTTTCCCCACTTGTATGAGCATGAGAACAAGAGGGACATCCACGCGCGCTCCTCCTCCGCCGCCCGCCACGCCACGCCACGCCACGCCACGCCACGCCTCGCCTCGCCTCGTCACGACGCGCCGCGGGTTGCGGGAATGAGCGGAGTCGATGTCTAATTTTTGCCACGCACTACGGGTATACGAAAGGTCACCTGGGAGCTGAAAAGTTTTTGCGGTAGTGGATAATGAATGCGAACGGCGCACCTCTTCGCGTGCTGCCTGTTCACTTCGTCTCCCTCCGTTGCTTCACCTCCCAGCGCAGCCTGTTCGCCTCCCTCTCCTGTGCCTATATAAGAGAGGTTGCTCCTCTCTAGAGAGACACATCAGAAGGTCCTCTTCCTCTCACCACACAGTTTCAATCTCTGTGCTGCTGATGTCTTCCTCATCCCTGCTTGCGGCGTGCACCGCGAGTCGGGATAGTAGGCCTCCAAGACCGCACCTTTTAAGTCATGTACAGGAGAAGGGTGATAAGGTTTTTGGGGAGCGCTCAGCGCGACTACTGGCTGGTTCATCATGGACGATCCGGTCGCCGACGACTACTTCCCCGACGAAGACTTCTTCCCCGACGTCCACGACCTCCTCGACGACATGGCAGGCGAGGACACCGACCCCAAGTCCAGCGCTTCTGCTGCTGCGGTGCCGTACGTGTTCTTCTCCTTTCTGTTAGAAGTCCTGCTACAGTTCTTGGCTCTAGTTTCTTCCCTATGTATGTTAGGTTCTATGTCGTATAAGCAACTTCATCTAGTGTCTGTTCTATATATGTTTAGTTACGGTTCATATATGAACATGCTGTTTACCTTCTCTTTGTCAAATTGCATGGCTTATTTCATCACTGCTATACTAGCCATGTTTTATCTACTATTTCTATTAATAAAATCATTCGGTAAATTGCTCATATTTCCAACAGGTAATCAACCTTACTTTGCATAGTAAAACATATGGAGCTGTTTTGAATGCAACTATGCAAGTCATCTTCGCCGATTTGAGGAAAATGACAGTAACCTAATTACGCTTATAGATTGCAGAGAGATTATGCAAGCTTGTATATTCTGGTGCACCATGTTAAATATATTTTGGTGGTGCATGCTTTACTTTGCCATCATGTGGTAAAAGGCTGGATGAATGGATTCAGTTACTTAATTTGTGGATAAGTAAAAGCAAATTGTTAATGCTCGTGAAATCTCCAAAATATATATGCTTTGTATTCCCCAATTTCTATTTACCTGAAATCTTACTATGGTTAGTTATGGCATGATGATAGTACAACTGTCGTGTCAGATAGTCTTCAAAAATGTCTTCAACATTATTAATTGGAATCATATTAAATATATAAAGCCATAGTCCATACAATAAAAAATGTACTTTGTCAACAAAACGTTTAAAAGGATGGTTTCAGTTTGATATAAAAGTTTATGCATAATCTTACATGGAATTTTGTCATGGTGACATATAACCAATAAACTTACTAGATGTACTAATTTATGTTCTTCTATGCTTTATATAGCTCAATTGCATTTTGCTGTGATAGATCTATGACTTCAGGATGGACATAATGGAAAATGCCCAACTATCTTAGTGCTTAATAAATTTTTTCTAGAAAAGGAGGATGGCCCCCGGCCTCTGCATCTGGACAATGCATGCGGCCACTTTATTAATTATTTTCAAAAGACCTTACAAAGTCACACAACAGTAAGACTAAAGCCACCGTGTAAGCAACAACTGTCGCTACACCTATCCAAATGATGAAGGGGCGCTAATAGCCTGGGCCTAATACTAAACAGACATTGCAGCCAAACCTAAACATCTATGACCTGAGGTCCCAACCAGGACGCCTGCCTGATATGGGGCACCTACCAGTCCGGCGCACTCCTCAACCAGGACGCCTGCCGGGTATGAGGCCGACGCAGCCACCTAGCACAAGTCCATCTTCAGAGTTGTACTGTTGCATCTACCGTGCCAGGTCTCTCTGCCATCGACGCCACCACGACGCCAGACAGCGCCGTCCTCCTGTGCGAGTCCATCCTCCCACATCGAACTCCGAATCTGCACTGCACCACACCGTCAAGATCCATCGCCATCAATATGTAGGATGAAGCACCGCTCTACCAAAGAAGTCGTCCGCTGGTCCCGCGAAGCCGAGTGCACCTCCAAGAATGCCGCCCCAATGGGGGTACGACACATGAATGCCTCCAACATCCGATCAGCTGATCTAGGGTTTCCCCCGGAGGTATTGAGTGGAGTTGGGAGCTTCACCTCGATGATGCCTTCATGAAGGAAATGATGATAAGGGCATCGTCATCACCGGCTCCGGCCATCAACCGAAGACCAGGTTTTCACACGGATCCATCCCAAGAAATCCACCCAACAACCTGTGCACCATCTCGACCGCCTTCAAAGCCCCAGATCCAGCCGCCTAGATCCGGCGACCAACCGCAGCAACAGTGCCACCGTGGGATCCCTGGCGCACCGGCCACTTCCTGAGTGTGCCACCACTAGAGCCTAGGAGGAGGGTGAGGGAGTCCTGGACTAGGGGGTGTCCGGACAGCCGGACTATCATCGTCAGCCGGACTCCAAGACTATGAAGATACAAGATTGAAGACTTCATCCCGTGTCCGGATGGGACTTTTCTTGGCGTGGAAGGCAAGCTTGGCGATACGGATACGTAGATCTCCTACCATTGTAACCGACTCTGTGTAACCCTAGCCCTCTCCAGTGTCTATATAAACCGGAGGGTTTTGGTCCGTAGGACAACAACCATTACAACAATCATACCATCGGCTAGCTTCTAGGGTTTAGCCTCCTTGATCTCGTGGTAGATCCACTCTTGTACTACCCATATCATCAACATCAATCAAGCAGGAGTAGGGTTTTACCTCCATCGAGAGGGCCCGAACCTGGGTAAAAACATCGTGTCCCTTGTCTCCTGTTACCATCCGCCTAGACGCACAGTTCGGGACCCCCTACCCGAGATCCGCCGGTTTTGACACCGACATTGGTGCTTTCATTGAGAGATCCTCTGTGCCGTCACCGATAGGAAGGATGCCTCTTGCCGTCTTCAAGGACGGTATCTTCGCCAAGGGAGCCTTGGCCGCCGGCCAAACTATCCGGCTAGGTGGTTTTCTCATGACCGCCTGTTCGACCACCGCTTCGACGATGACCTCTCGGGTCATCAAAAGCAATCTTCACGTCAACTCGGAATTCACCGAGCAGCTGGATCCAACAGAGCTCTCATCCGTAAACGAACTCTTGGATCGCATCGCCGCCCTGGGAGTCGCTACAGACTACAATCAGATTGGGCTTAAAACCGATCTGAGAGAGATTAACTCTCCCCAGGTTACCCACCACGTCGCGGTGGTAGAGGAACATCGCGGCGACTCTTCTCCTATATTGAAAACTAGTCATGTCCGGGCTTCCGAACCCTCCATGCCGGATTCTCGCGGAGGGACGGACTTCGATCAAGCGCTGAACCTAAAGTCAGGCATCGGACCGGACTCGTTGGACAACGTTCCACTTTCCAAGCTTCCAAATTCGGAAACTTCTCGGCCCTTGAGCCTTGAGATGGGTAGGGTTCCGGACTCAATTAAACCCACCCACCCAGACATATGCGATCTATCTCTAATCCGGCAAGAGCCTGCTGAAATAGTACATCATTACTGGGCCAGATTCCTCCTGGTTATGGACAGGATAAAGGACTGCCGAAGGCACATCGGACGGTGCGGAGCATGCCAATGTGCTAGCCGTGTCATGCCCCGGCGCAACGAACGACATGGAGGGAACTCTTGCACGGCGATGCCCCAAGAGGCGGGTACTGCAACATCCTTTATTAATGTAATTTCCACACTTTATCACTCCTCTAGGAAGTTCATCGTGGTTGCACACCCGACCTTGATTTTTGAGCTCAAACATGGCACCCATGGCTGGTGACCTAAATATATGCAGGTACTCCCTGCGAGAATCCGCAGAAAAGCAAAGGGGTCCAGAGGAGGATCACATGAGAAAAAAGGGTGGCGTGCACGGGCCGCGGAGGTGGAGCATCTTCCTTTGAGAGGGGAGTCATGGTGGAGCGATTCAAAAAGGCAGAGCACGAGGTGCGCATGCGCCCGAAGTGAATCATTTCGCTTGTATCAAGTGTAAGATGATATGGCAATGAGATATAGCCAGGTACGGACTGTATTGTTAACCAAGCTGCAAGAGTTTTGTCTCCCTACTTTACAAGCCTGCCTTCTGTCATAGGACTTGTTTAGTCTGCGCTCATATGAAAACTGACAGTCTTGCCTGCCCTATGTGCATTTTTTAATTGCCTATTCTCAACATCCAAGTAGACATGCCCGTTGATAAACATGTGACGTGCCTCAAGTGGCAGATGTAAACTTAGGTATTATGCTACCCCGTCTCTCCCTTTTTTCATCTCACCCATTCACTTGCGCCATCCTCTTTTGCTGCTAGCAGATCTGAGCTAAGGGGGGAAACCTGCATACTATTAGTGAGCTCCGTCTCTTCTCTTGCTCTGCTCTGCTCAATCCCTTTCTCTTTCTCATCTTCTTGGTTCTTACTTGTTTGTAGATTGTAAGGTCAAGGGAGCCATGGAACTGGCGACGGGAGCCATGGGCTCCCTGATCCTCAAGCTAGCTGAGCTGCTCAAGGAGGAGTACAAGCTGCACAAGGACCTCAGGAAGGAAGTGGAGTCTCTCTCACTAGATCTCGAGAGTTTGCATGGCGCCCTCCACAAGGTGGCGCTGGTGCCGCGCGACCAACTGGACGAGCAGGTCTGGATCTGGGCCCGTGATGTTAGGAAGGCGTCGTACGCCATGGAGGACATCGTTGACTCCTTCCTGGTGCGCGTGGACGGCGGCCATGACCATGAAGCCGAGGCCAACAAGACTGGCCTGAAGCGGTTCAAGGAGAAGACGAGAAACCTCTTCAACTTCAAGAGGTTGGTGGACCGCCGTAGCATCGCTGGCAAGATCCAAGACATCAAGAATCAACTCCAGGCTGTGGCCTTGCGGCGCTCCATGTACAAAGTCGACGATATCGTGGCCAAGCCTGCTGCGACAACATCGACCATGGATGATCCTCGCCTCTTGGATCTGCATAGAGTGACAAAGCTCTTTGGCATTGATGAACCACGTGAGGCGCTCATCCGTATGCTGTCCGAGGGGAAGGACGGTCACGGCGTGCACCAAGAGATGAAGATAGTCTCCATCGTCGGATATGGCGGACTGGGCAAAACCACCATCGCCAAAGCTGTTTATGACAAGCTTAAGGTGAAATTTCAGTGTGGGGCTTTCGTTCCAGTCGGCCAGTCTCCAAACATGATGAAAATTTTCATGGACATCCTAATCGGCCTTGACAAGCAAAAATATACTGATGCCAATATGATGATATTGGATCAATGGCAGCTCATCGATGAAATCAAAGATTATCTACAAGATAAGAGGTGCGTATCGCTCACCCCCTTGAATTTCTACCACCTCCTACAGTGAGGGAATATGAGGGATGGGAGAAACTTGTTAGAGATACTTACTAAGTTTAACTTATTATTTCCATGTTACTTGATTTTAGAATTCTTGTATTCAGAAGTTTGGAAGGTTTGACCATATGTTAACATATTTTAAAACAACGTTTAAAAAAGCATACTTTAAAACAATAAATTTCTAGCTCCAAAAAGCTTTATATCATAGTTTTTGTTGAAAATATAAATTCTAGAGTATTTCACACCAATAAACAGAACAACTAATAGGGTTAATTAAGTGAGAAATGCCGGCAATAAATAGGGAGAAGCAATTAGCGGGGCAATTAGGGCCAATTAGGAGGGGTTGCCGGCTCATTTAGCTTTAAATCTACTAAAATATACTACTAACTCTGTCACAGTTTAGAAGGCACAGTTAAATTTGCGTGCGTTTTCACAATAGACAAGGTTTAAGGCGCATTGCATTTATTTCTAGTAGCTAATTAGTACTCTGATAGTACTATTTATATATGCATGCGCAGTGTGAATGCTATTTTTTAGCCCATCTCACAACCAATAGATAACTACCTAGGTCCCAGAGAATTTCCTAGCGCGCCTTCTAAACCGTGACGGAGGGAGCATGTAAAATACTGCATTTATACAAGGAGGGTGTGTCTTAATTGAAACTTGTAAAAAAAGGTGCCTGCGAAAGTAGCATCTGGAAGACTCCACAGAAAAATTGTGAACGGAGTCCTCCCATCAAACAGGTTAGTTCCAGGTTTACAAGGCACCATTTTTTTGTCCTAAGTCAAACTCTGTAAAATTTTGACCGGTTTTACTCAGAAAGTATTGACATCTATGCTTTAATATAAAATAATTAGAAAATTGTATTTCACCATAGACCTAGTGATATTGATTTATTACTGTGGATGTTAATAATTTTCTCGATAAACTCGATCAAAGTTTATGCAGTAGGTATGATCCAAATGCCAAACCCAAGGAAGGATTGGCTGGCAATAGTTGCCGCCTTTCTCCAACTGGGCAGCAGCAAGATTATTGGTTATGAGTTGATTGCGACGAGAGCTAGTTTGGTGGAAAGACTTGGTCTATTGCGATGACCTTGTTTAGCACGATAATGCCATTTTTGTTTTTTTTATTCATTATGGTTACGCAATGCATTTTGTTTCCATACGTAACCTAGGTGTATAACTTAATGTATTGCAATGTTTGTAGGTACTTCATTGTTATCGATGATATATGGGATACATCAACATGGGAATTGATAAAATGTGCTTTGGTAGATAATTATCTTGGAAATGTGGTAATCACAACTACTCGCAAATCAGAAGTTGATATGGGTGGTCTTGTTTACACACCAAAACCACTTTCTTATAGTGACTCCCAAAAGTTATTCTATACAAAGATATTTGGTGCAGAGAAATGCCCTGAGAATTATAAATCAGCTGGCGTGTATGATAAAATTACTGAGGTGTCTGAAAAAATTATGAAGAAATGCAATGGTTCACCATTAGCCATTGCTACAATAGCTAGTGTGCTAGCTAAGAAATCAATCTTGGAATGGTCACATGCCTACAACACTATAGGTTTTGGGCATGATGAAGATGAATCACAAGTTAAGAAAACAATGAAGATATTGTCTTTTAGCTATTATGATATGCCATTGCATCTACGAGCTTGCTTATTATATTTAAGTATATTCCCCGAGGATCATTTTATTCGCAAAACAATGTTGATATGGATGTGGATAGCTGAAGGCCTTATTCACGATAAAGAAGGGGTAGGTCTGTTTGAGCTTGGAGAAAGATATTTTAATGACCTTGTTAGTAGAAATATGATCATGCCAGCAAAGTTCACACGGGAAGCAGGCTTCCTTAATGGTTGTCGTGTCCATGACATTGTACTTCAACTCCTTCGTTCCTTGTCAAAAGAAGAAAACTTTATCAGTATATTGTATAATGAGCAACACATGCCTGTGGACAGCAGGCGAGTATCCATTCAAAACAATGAGCTCAACTTTGACAACATCATTATGGATAAGTCACATGTGAGGTCAGTTACTACCTTTCGAGGTCTTATGGACATCTTGCCTCCACTCTCTAATTTCCCAGGGTTGCGTGTACTGGCAGTTATGGGAAACTCTGTTTTGAAAGAAAGCCATTATCTGGAGGGACTTGGGAGCTCACTACACCTTCGGTACATCAATCTATTTCTTACACCTGCAGGCCATCTCCCAAAAGCTATTGGTCATCTAAAGTTGCTCCTGGTACTGGACATCGAGGGCACTGGCATAGAAGAACTGCCGGACAGTATGGCCCTGCTACAGGGATTGATATGCCTACATGCTGACGAGAAGACAAGGATGCCCGATTGGATTGGGAAGCTGACTTCCCTGCAGGAGCTGTGGATTTGGCCTGTAGCCGGAAAGTATGCATGCTTTGTGGAAGCGCTGGGCAAGCTGAGGGAGTTGAGGGTATTGGTAACATTGAATGTCGCGCCTGATGAGAGCGTTGAGGGAGGCTTGCTGGAGGCTTTACGCAACATGCACAACATCATGGTTATAGATTTCACTCTTGACAGTAAATTTGAACCAGGGAGTATCAGAAAGACATGCGAAGAAGGCTTCATCCTCTCGCTACATCTCCGCCGCCTGGTTCTACATGGCTTCATGTTCTCAAGGATCCCGGGGTGGATCAGTCCCTTTCTTCTTCCCAACCTCTGCGACATAGGAGTGGAAGCATATCATGTGGAACAGAAGGATATGGATGTCCTTGGAGATTTCACAAAGCTCCACAAACTGGGTCTTAGGATTGTGAGCGTGGAAACAAAAGACAAGGAAATTTTGACGTGTGGTCGTGGTGCATTCCAGAATCTGAGGATATGCGATGTGAACCGACAGCTCAAGTTTCTACATGGATCTATGCCAAGGCTTGAAGATGTTCATTTGGAGATCCGTGTCTGGCAAGTGAAACCTGATTTCGACTTTGACTTGGGCTTGCTTAACCTCCCTGCCATTCAGCGAGTCGACGTAACTATCAACTGCGCATACTCTCGTCCTGTGGACGTGGAGGAAGCAGAGGCTGCTTTGACGCACGCAGTGTACATGCATCCAAACAGTCCCACGCTTATAATAAATAGGATGTGGGAAGAGGTACCAGCATTTTTATCAAATAAGGCCTTCCATTTTCATAGATTTCATTTGTCTCTGTGCATGCTCATTCTCCTGGTATCTTAAATATGGTTCTCTTCTTTCTTGTTTAATGCAGTTGATGCTGTTGATGGGTGAAGAATATAAAGAGGTACTTACAACGTTATCTCCATTAATTTGCCATCTGCCATCACATATAGCGTACATAGTCTGAAATGGCTCCTCGGAGCTAATTCATTTCCCTCTTGATAGCTACTCGGCCTTTCTGCAGAAAAACGAAGTCCTCGGTCAGATGCTTATTCAAAGTGATCACTTCGCTGAAATTTGTGAAGGGATTCGGGAGGCAGAGAAGTTGCAAGGCGCCTTGCCCGTCAACCATCCCGTCCTTCTAGAGGTACATATATTACTCCCTCCTTATCGACAACATCATGGCATCATCTGTTCATACTCATTTAATTTTCCTCAGACCATGCCACTCATGGAGCATCTCACCAAGGATGTGCTAGGTCCTGATGCAAGAAAAATTCTATATGATGATTGGATGAGTCTCCGTGGCATGTTAGCTTATGACGTACATGGACTGGTCAGTACTCGGTACTCTTTTCCTTTTTTTCAGCCTTCCTTTATTATCCCTATTCATCCTAGGCTAGTTAGTACTCCCCCGCATGCTTATCAAGATGTTACTTTGACCATCAATTAGTTAGACTAATACTCCCTCCGTCCCGAAATAAGTGACTCAAAAGTGAGTCAACTTTGTACTAAACTTAGTACAAAGTTTAGTCATTTTTGAGTAACTTATTTTGGGACAGAGGGAGTAATACATAAATCATGTAACTTAGTAAAATTTATACCATTGATTTTTTTTCGGGTACTAAATTAATGGTATAATTTACGTGACATATACCCCATGTTTTGTTTCTCCAATTCGTTGTCAAACTCGAGTTTTGGAAAAGGGTGTGTGCCATCCTTTTCTAGTTGGAGCAAGTACTGATTTTCCTAGCCCTGTTCCGTGTTCCTGGTTACAGGAGGCACAGGTTGCAGCTGCTCGAGGATACCTCAAGCGACTCCACCTTGTGAACCAGCAATCTACGCCACTACTGGAGAAAATCAAGGCTGCGTTGAATCAAAGACAAACCATCAGTACGCACGATTTCCACCATTCATTTTCATCTATCCACTGTTAAAAATACTCGTTTGTCTTAATTTGTTATTTCCATTCCTCCTAGTTTCTCCCTCCATCTCTGGACAAATCGGGGAACAGTGAGTGCTGAATTCAAGTGCCATAATAATGTCTATGTGCTCCTCCTGGAAGCATTGAACCACATGATCAGGCCTCCCTCTTTAGCAACGGGAACTTCTGCTCAGTTGATTTGTTGTGCTTTAGTCTCAGTCCAGGCAGCAGCGTCCACAAGCTAAAGCTCACACACATTAATTCGGCCACCAATCAGACCTACTGAAAGAGAAGGGACAATTTCAAGGCTGTGGTAATGGTGAAGGGAGAGGCAGAAAAACGTGCTAATTAAAAAGAGTGTTGTGGTTGAAGTGGAACTACTGTTTGTTGCCTTAATAAGGAACTTGTATGTTCCATCTGTTGTGCTTGACACTCTCTCGGTTATTAGGAGTCATGTAATCATCTTTTCTGACTGTTAATGGTCTTTCCACTTTATGTTCTAGCACTTTGAAGTTTGAACTACTCGAACCACTTCTAATAAATTTGGTTGTGTGCATCATGTGATGCAGAGGCCGGGGCCTACCCCTTATAAAAAAAACTCTCTTAATTACGATTGTATCCTGAATCTCTTCATTTCTGCCCATTTTGTAACAAGCTTCCAAAGAACCGTTTGTCTGTGTTGTACTCCCTCCGTTCCTAAATATTTGTCTTTCTAGAGATTTCAAATGGACTACCACATACGGATGTATATAGACATATTTTAGAGTGTAGATTCATTCATTTTACTCTGTATGTAGTCACTTGTTGAAAGCTCTAGAAAGACAAATATTTAGGAACGGAGGGAGTAGATAACAGGTGATGCAGAACCTTTTTGGCATCAACACTCACAAATATGTACTTGGTACTTGGTAAAACCGGGAAATTTATTGATGGGGGCATGTATACATGGAAGGTAACAGCCAATCTGACCAGATATATACTTCATGGTTTTCCCCGACCCTGCAGATCACCCCAGACTATATATATTTCCTAAACACTGGTAGCCACCGCTGTTACAGCACTAGGGAAAATTTGACCCCTGAAGTGACGGTCTGCTCACCGAGCCCATAGAGAGTATCGATGAGGTGCATCCTGAGAGAGGCAGGTCCTTTAGCTGACTCCATCCCGGTCTCTCCAGCGAGTCTGAAGATGACAAGGGCACATGCTGCTGCGGCCAGAGCATCGGAAGGATACACTCTGACAAAGGCTGCTATAAGAGCTGTCACGGCACAACCTGCCGCCGTGATCTTCTGCATCATTGCCACGCCATTCCTCACACTGATGACCTGCTCACCATCCGTGATGAAATCAACCGCTCCAGATACTGCAACAACCGCCCCGCTGGACCGTGCCAATGCTTCCGCGGCTTGCAGGGCCTCCCCTGAGCCATGTGAACTGCCCACACCCTGAAGTTTGCTACAAGTAGTACAACTGTAAGCAAGATGGAATACTGTAAGTGGTGTAGGCTTGGTATGTGTGTTGATCTTCAAATAACTGTGAGATAGGTCAACCAGTCAATCATCCTGGAATCCAGGCAAGAACTTTACTAACACAAGTGACGTTTGACCAGACTACCCGTTTAAAATTCCTTGAGAGATTGGATAATATAGTTTGTGGAAGCTAGAAGACTAGTGACCTGAGTGCATCACCCTGACAAAAGAGGGGCAGAGAAGAAAAGACACCGCCAGGATAGGGGCAGACCGGACTGGGTGGAGGGCCTCGACATGAACCATTTTTCTTATGGACTTCATCCATCGTGGCACTCTGCGTCACATGGCATGCTAGCACTGCAAAATCGCTTTC